TATTCAGAGCCCCTTTCTTCCATAGTGACAATACTTAGGTGGCACGTGTCTGCCCAGAACAGAAGCCATCTCCCATCCCCCACCCAGGTCTGGTCACGTGACTAAGTTCTGGCCAATAGGGGCGTCCCATCCAGGGACGCCCTCGCGTGCATGAGCCCTGCTGCCGGGAGGGGGCGTGACACGCAGAAAGAGCCCGGGCTCCCCACCACGAAGCTCTGATAGCTGCACGGAGCAGAGCCACCAAGCCAGGCTGGACTTCTATGGGCGAGAGAGAAGTACAGCCATCTTCAGGACTGGGTCTCTGGCACACGCTGGACCCAGAGACTAGCATCGCTAGGGAGCACAAAGCCAAGCGTTTCTCTCTCCTGTGCCCGGGGAGAGGGGCTTAGGCTCTCCCCAGTCTAAGCTTGGCGGCCAGAAGATGAAGTCTCAGCTCACGTGTCCGGGTCAAACGGGTCCCCATTGACCCAGTGGAATTCGTCCCCGACTCTGCGTAGTCCAATCCAGGGCTCCCTCCGCGTGAACTTGAACATGAATTCCTGCACGGAGGAAAGAGGGAAACTTCAAGGTCAGATGCGGTCTCCTGACTGCTCTCATATCCCAAGACAAACCTCCACTTGCAAGATCCTGGCTCTCAGGACGTACAGAAACTAGGAAAATGAGTGGTATCTCACTGCATCCCAGAAGTGAGACCTGAGGTTACAGAACCCCCTGAAGTCGCACGGCCTGAGCTTGGCTGGGAGCTGCTCCCTGACCTTGCAGCAGTTGGCTCCAGCAGCCTGCAAGGGCGCCTGGTTCTGTGTGCATGCCCACCGGGCCCGGAAGGCTGCCCAGGGCTGTCCTCCCAGCGCAGCGGCCCAGCAGGCCGGCATTCCTGATTTGCAGGAAGCTTGGGGATTGCCCACTGGATGGATTATCTGGGACAAATCTCAGCACTCAGGTTGGTTGTCCTTCTACCTGCATACTTGTGGGATCTCTGCAGAAGGGGGATATCGTACTGTGTATCAAAGACAAACAGAAGTAATTTTTAGATTATCTGCTATTTTGGATTGCCACACCACTGTTGACCTCAAAATCCAAAATGGCCAACAGGCTCATTAGTTGTGTTTCTTAACACATTTCCATTGATAAAACTGTTTGGGGTGTTAAACAAGAGATCATGCCCTGATTTGGATCAGTGGGAAATGACAATGTATTTTTACATTTCGCAGTGCGTTTGTAATTCTTACACTTTACAATACTGAGTTTAGCACAGCCAACAGCCTTGGATTGAAGGAAGTGTCCTTGACAATAGAAGTGGAAACTAGAGCCACACAGTGACCTGCTCAGAGCCTGTGGGGTCCACCTGCACACCCCATGGCTGTGCGGCAGCTGGATGGCTCTGGGGACATGTCACAGGGGCCCCCGCGTCCGTAGGGTGTGGCTGTCCCCTTAGAGTTGGAGGCGCTGAGGCCTGCACCTCAGCACACTCACCAGCTCCTTCTGGCTCTGGATCACTGCCAGCGCGGCCTCGTGGGTGTGACAGTACTGCCTGCCCGTGTTCCAGTCTCTCGGTTCCTCAGAAAAGAAGTAGCACTTCCTTCCATAGAGCAGCCAGTCCTCCGGGCAGGGCGCTTCGCACTTGATACAGCCCTTGGAAGCTGCAGGGAGGAAAGACAGGCTCTGCGTATGCCATCGCGCCCGGCCACCACCCTGTCCCCCAGATTCCCACTCTGCTTCCTCGACTTCGGTGCCCTTCTCACAGGTAAGCACCTCTCACAGCGCCTGGAGTAAAGGGTTGGCGACTAAACAAATGAGGAAGGGAAAGCTGGTAGGCACCTCCCCACGAGCGCGAGTGACAGCAGGTCAGCCCCTGGGTTAGGACCTCCTCTGTCTCTGAACTCCCAAGGCTTGGGACCCCGGAAACTCAGACTGGGAAGGGAGCTGGAAGCCACGTATCCTTTCTCTCCAGCCAGGGAGGGAGCCACTTTCAGGAAGGACTGCCTGCTCTCATTAACTACGCCTTGTTAGCTAACAAGGCTGCCTTTCCACTGCTGAACTGCTGGAAAGTTCTTTTTAAATATTAATATTTAGTCTCAACCTGCCCTCTTGTGAGCTAGACCTACTGATGTAGGATCTGCCTTCTGGAGTGACCCAGAGCAAACTCATTCTGTCTTCTACGTCCTACTTGAAGGACACCAGCCTCCCCTGCCATCTTTTCATGATTCCTAGCAGGGCCTGCTCACTGCAGTGTCCCCATACTGCCACTGAAACACTGCCACCAGGATAGACTGGGACACATCAGATGTGGCTCTACCAGCAGCAAGAGTGACCACAATGCTGTCTTCCAGGTGTCATGGGCTCTCCAGTCTGCAGGCTGCTTTAATGCACTGACTCCATGCGTGTGAGCATACGTGCACTTTTCTGGGAAGGAAGCCCAGAGCTTCCATCAGAGTCTCAAAGGGCCTCCTTGCCAAAAGGAATTAAGCCACAGTCTTAGATTGTTTTCATATGATCTCTTTCCAAGCCAGGTCTCCCCAGTGTCCAGAACATGTGAAAATCTCTTTTAAAATCCAAATATAGGCCGGGTGCAGTGGCTCACGCCTGTAATTCTAGCACTGCGGGAGGCCAAGGCGGGCGGATTGTTTGAGCTCAGGAGTTCGAGACCAGCCTGAGCAAGAGCTAGACCCCGTCTCTACTAAAAATAGAAAGAAATTAATCTGACAACTAAAAATATATAGAAAAAATTAGCCAGGCATGGTGGTGCATGCCTGTAGTCCCAGCTACTCGGGAGGCTGAGGCAGAAGGATTGCTTGAGCCCAGGAGTTTGAGGTTGCTGTGAGCTAGGCTGATGCCACAGCACTCTAGCCCGAGAAACACAGTGAGATTCTGTCTCAAAAAAAAAAAAAATCCAAATATAGACTCTTATATTTATTTCCTCCACATTTATCTCATTCACTTTGCTCATCATTTGAGTTTTTTAAAAATAAACTTTAATCTTGATTTTTTTCCCATCTGTCATATGGAATTGAGTATTTGGATTGTATCAGCTGCAAATTCCATAAGTATATTTTTTGTTTGTTTTCATACAAGTGATTGATTAAAATGTAGACCACGACAGAACCAAGAACAGGCCTATGGTACCCAAGCCCCTAGGGGTCTACAGCCATGTGGACACCAGTTAATTAATCGACACTTCCTGGGCACATCTATTCAGTGAGATACCAGTGGGCTTGGGAATACTGACCATTTCAACTGCTTCTCCACAAGGATCTCATTTTAAGAAACTCTGTTGTGCTTTATTGTAGACATATGCTATGTCTACACATTGCCCTGGCCTTCGAACCTAGCAAAAGGGTAAAAGGAAACTGATTTAATTTGTAGTGATTATTCCAGGGGAACCCAAGCTGGCCCCGGTGGTTGCCATACCCATTTCTAAACACAGGCCTCCTGCTCGTCATACAAGCCCTACAGGGAAGGATTTGGTAGGAATCAGTGTTGTTGGTGGGCTTTTTCCCGCATGTTGAGAAATCCACCTCTGGTCTTACGGTACTCCTCAAAGATTAAGGACAGAGGCACTGAAATCACTTTGCAAACCCTTCAGGACCCACCACATACTTTGACTCGAATCCCTTAAAAGTAGCCACATTCCCTGCTCATACAGCCATGTCCTTAGTGGCAGTTTTCAACGTTTTTATTTGTTTGACCCTTTCCGTTTCTCAGGCGTCTCCCAGGTGTGAATATATTATTTTAGGCTACAATCCCATCCACAGCCAACACTATATTTTTTTCTACTGACTTTGTCCCCCACAAAAGCCTGGACAGTCTGGAACCTTTCTTTGCCTAATCAGAGGTGCTTCGACAAAGGGTGTACACAGGGAATTGCATGAATGCCCCGGCACGCAGGCTCACCCAAGATGCTCATCACCACCAGGATGGCGAACAGAAGGACCGCGATGGCGCCCAGCAGGAGACGCGTGGTGGTGTCTGAGGAGAAGAGAGAGGGGTTCAATTGCCGCCCCACCGCCAGCCCACAGCCCCACGAGTGAGAAACTTGGGGGGCGAAGCCCAGCAAGGTGAGTTTTAACAAGCCCTCCAGGTGACTCTGAGGCCCGCTGGAGTTTGAGAACTGCTGCTCTAGAGCACAGCCCTGATGCTGTGACTCCCCCACTTAAAACTCTCCCCCAGAGCTCCCCGTTGCCCCCAAACTTCTCCTGTGACAGGCAGAGCTGTCCACCTTGAATCTCCTACTGCTTTGCTAGATGGTCCCAGGTTTCAGCCAGTGAGACTCCTTGAAATAACCTGTTCATCCAGCCCTTGCAGCCCTGCCCCTGGGTGTTTGCTCCCAAAGTTCTCCTCCTCCACCTATACCTCTTGATATCCACCCACCTCTACACCATCCATCCTCTTCCTGATCCTCTGGTTCTCCCTTTTTATTTTCATTTATTTATGTTTTTTGTTATCACTTAGCATTTGCATTTTGTATTTAATGAAAGAATCCTTTCAGACTTTAGGCATAGGGTATTTTTAAGATTTTTTTAAAAAATATATATAACATAAAATTTGCTGTCTTGACCATTTTTAAGTGAACTATTAGTGGCATTAAGGTACATTCACAGTGTTGAGTGGCCATCCTCACTGTCTGTTTGCAAAACTTTTCCATCATCCCAAACAGAAGCTCTGTACCCACTAAACAACAGCACCCCATTCCCTTTCCCCCAGCCCCTGGCACCCACCCTTCTACTTTTTATCTCTATGAATCTGATGATTCTAGGAACGTCGTGCAGTATTTGTCCTTTGTGCCTGGTTTCTTTCACTTAGCATGTTTTCAGGGTTCATCCGTGTTGCCCCATGTATCAGAACTTCATTCCTTTTTAAGGCTGAATAATATTCCATTGTATGGATTTAACCACATTCCGTCTATCCACTCCTCTGTTGGTAGACACTGGGGTTCTTTCCACCTTTTGGCTATTGTGAATTTGTGTACAAATACCAGCTTGAGTCCCTGCTTTCAATTCTGTCGGGCAGATGGCCTAGGAGTGGAGTTGCTAGATCATATGGTAGTTCTGTTTAACTTTCTGAGGAACCACCAAACTGTTTTCCACGGCAGCTGCACCACTTTACATTCCCACCAGCAATGGACGAGGGTTCGAATTTCTCCACATCCTCACCAGCACTTGTTGTTTTGCATTTTTTTCAAGAACTGGTGCCATAGTAATTATATTTTTTGATTATAGCCATCCTAGTATGAGTGAACCCCCTTTAAAATTTTTTTATTTTTTTTACCATCTTAACCATTAAGTGTACGGTTAAGTATAGTTACTTTGTCGTGCATCCCTGTTTATCTTTGTTTTTTTAAAAAAATCAGTCATGTATAGACATAGATGAACAGAGTACTGCCCAGTGCTGGCCTGTCAGTTGTCACTCATCCCGTCACTGTGTGAGCACCAAAATGGAGAGGAAGAACTGTAGCAATTCAGCACTACTCTGACATCCAAGTGTGTGCTTGTGTTTCTAGTTATTCATTAGCATTGCATTTTACAAAGGATTTGGAAAAGAAACCCGTTCCCTTCATCAAGGACAGTCTGAAAAACACAAATTTAAAGAATCAAGAATTTCTAAAAGGCTTCATTAAAAATAATGACATTGCCCCTTCCCCAGGGCCAACCACTTTCAACTGTTCTAGCTGACTCTTGCAGTAGTACCTCCAAATCTCAAATGTCAGGTGTATGTCAATAGTTCTAGACTTTTCCATTTTAGATAGACTTTATTGACTTCCCACTATAATGGTGGAGACTTCATTCTCTCTGCATTACCATCCTACCCTGACCACTTACCCCCCGCCTTCTCAACACCATAGTTTAGCGTTAGGTTGATAATCTGGTATTATCTTCTTAGGACAAGGTAAATGGTGTTCCCAGCAAAGCCATGCAATGTGTTATGATCTATTCATTTCAACAGAACTTGTTGTTTCCTGTTAGTTAATCATGCTCTTCTTTTTACTTTTCTTAGTCTTCTGTGTCCTTATCATTATTTCACCCCAAAACTCCTCTTAGATGATGAGACTAATCAGAAATTCTGTCTCACCTTTGTCTCAGTCACCTCGGGCTGCTATAACAAATCTCATTGACCAGGGAGCTTAAACAACAGACATTCATTTCTCACAGTTCTGGAGGCTGGAAGTCCGAGATCAGGGTGCCAGCATGGTTGGTTCTGGTGAGGCCTCCTTCCTGGCTGCCTTCTCATTGTGTCCTCACAGAGTGGAGAGAGGAAGTTCTGGTGTCTCTTTTCTTAGAAGGGCACTAATCCCATCATGGGGGCTCCACCCTCATGACCTCATCTAAACCCAATTACTTCCCAAAGCCCCACCTCCTCAATACCATCACATTAAGGGTTGGGAATTCAACATACGAATTTTGGGAGGAAACAAACATTCAGTCCATGACAACCTTCTCAAAGAAGTGTTATGGAACCTTCTGACCTGCTGCAATCTGATTTGTTGCCTTCTAAGCCCAGCTGCCCTACCTGTACCAGCAGCCTGAGGGTTTCTCTGCCTCTCTCCTATGTCGGCTCTTCTATTCCTTCTCCCCCATGTCTTCTTCTTTCTTGGTTTACCCCCTCATCTTGGTGGACACATCATCCAGTGGCTGTCTGAGAAAGGGTATGGCAGAACCAGTACACGGAACTGGTCCAAGGAGCAACATCTCTCATTGTGCTCCATGGTGAATGGTGCCCCTGGACTTGTGAACGCAGAGGCCTAAGTAATATAGCTTGGAAGTAATTCTCCTTCAGAGTTTCAAAAGTACTACTTAATTATCTTCTAGATCTAGTGTTGCTTTTGAAAAGTCTAGATCCATTCTCACCCATGATCCTTTGAATTTCAATTGCTCAATTTTTTTTTTCTAGAAGCTTTTAGGATCTTTTCTCTATCACACAATGTTCTAAGGTTTCACCAGGCCTGCCATGCCTTGGTTGAGTCTGTTTTCATCTACTGTACTAGGCAATCAGTGGGCCCTTTCCATCTGGAAAGTCCTGTCTTTCAGTTCCAGGAAATTTTCTTTCATTATATCATTGATGATTTCCTCTCCTCTGTTTTCTGCTTTATTTCTGGATGTCAGATCTCTTGGATTGGTCCTCCAAATTTCTCATCCTTTTTTTCCCTTCTTACTCACTATTTCTTTGCCTTTTTGCTCTATTTCCTGGAAGATTTTCTCAACTTTACCTTCCTAATCTTCCTACCCTCCTACTGAGTTTTTTATTTCTGTGATTATAGTTTTAATTTCCAAGGTTTTTTGTTTTTGTTGCTGCTGTTCCATGAATACCCCCTCTTAAAACATCCTATTCCTGTTTTAATGATGCAATATTTTCTCTCATCTCTTCTCTCTGACAATATTTTGACAGTTTTGGGGGGAGGTGGGTAAAGAGGTGGGCAGAAAGTCTATTCCTCCTTGTGTAGTCTCTATTTGTTCCAAGTTGCTTTTTCCCTGTTCGTTTGTTCTGGTCTCTAACTTCCATGTTGGAGACTTTCCTCAGATGTCTGGAGATCCTTGGCTATCTGTTCGTGATTAAGGCAGGGGGACTAAAGAGTTCGTCGGAGCCTCTGAGTCCACGGGTGGGGCTTATTAACTGCTGGGGACACGGTAGAGAGATCTGGCTGGACTGGTCTTTGAGGGTCTCTGAATGTTAATCTCCTTAGACTTTTCCTCTTGGGTGGACCAGAGTCCCAGCAGAAGGCTCTTCTATCTTCTCTCCTGGAGGGTACACAGCCCACTGGGGGAAGGGGCTTGGAGGCTGTCCTCAGCATTTAATGTGCCGATGTTGACTTAATTGCTTGCTATCCCTGTGGTGGTGTCTAGAGGCCCTCTCTTGAGAGATTTCACCTCGAGTTTCCTGCCAGGGCCGGGGAGAGGGTACAAAGACTGGGGATCTAAATACTCCTTAAAGAAACCTTCAGCCTGTCCTCCTCTTCTCAGCCCTATCTTCACCCACTGCCACCAACCCCTGAGCCTTGGGGGGTCCTCCCATGGGACTCGGGTGGCTCTTCTGCTTTCTGAACTTCCTTTTCTGGGGTGAAGTGAGTTACTACTCATCCATTTGCTCCCTAGCTCCAAATTTTGTTGCTGTGTCTTCTTTCCTGTTCTTGTTGTCCTGATGGCCTTTTGTATTAGTGGGCCTCTGAAGGGAAGCATTTAGCCTGTCGTCATGATGTCACTGCAGGTCCAACAAACATTCGGAGTCTTTCCTATGAGCAAGGTCTCTGCTGGCAGGTGACCAGGAGTCCCAGGTGAGTGGCTTCAGACATGGTAAGAGCAGAGGCTCCAGCCTGCTCTGGAGGACTGGGCTCTCTCTCTGTTTCCTTTGCCATCCTTGGTGGCAGCTTCGCTATAGGCTGAGTCCCTTAGAGCTGTGTGATGGCCACCTGTGGCAAGCGCAGGCATGTGTCCTTCTTCTCTCTTCTTCACGTGCCTGCAGTCCTCTTCTCTAGCACTGCTACTGCAACCCCTTCTGCACGGAAGCTAAGGACATGGCATCCAAAACCACTTCACCTGGTTCCAACTCCAGCTCTGCCACTTTCTAGATGTTTACAGATGGTAAAATTACTTAGCCTCTATTGTAAAATTACTTAGCTTCATTTTTCTCATCTTTAAAACGAGGTCATGGTAGTATCTGCCTCTTAGAGCTTTATGGGAATTCAACATATAATGCTTAGAACAGCACCTGGCCTGGTGAGCCTATTTAACTAGAAGTGATTTTGTGTAGCACTGTTGTCATCATAACTAGCAGCCCTGGGCTCCTGTGGGGTAAGGACTGTGCTTTACTCACCTTTGGGTGCTCTAAAACAGGGCTCAGTCATTGCCTTGCAGGTTAGAGAGCACTCACTGGGACTCAAAAAATATGAGGGAAATTCAGTTACACTGAATGACAACATCCTTGGTCAGCCTTAAATTAAACTGAGTTTAAGCTGGGCACAGTGGCTAACACCTGTAATCCCGGCACTTTGAGAGGCCAAGGCAAGAGGATCACTTGAGGCCAGGAGTTCCAGACCAGCCTGGGCAACATAGCAAGACCCTGTCTCTACAAAAATTCTTTTTAAAAAATTAGCTGGGCATGGTGGCACATGTCTATAGTCCCAGCTACTTAGGAGGCTGAGACAGGAGGATCGCTTGAGCCCAGGAGTTTGAGGATGCAGGGAGCTATGATGGAGCCACTGCACTCCAGCCTGGGTGATAAACAAATAAACTAAGTTTGTAGAAAAGCCCACGTGGGAAAGGGGAATCTGCACATGTATCTCCAACATTACCAGAGTTAACGTGCCTCTTCATGCTGTGGTGGGAATAATTTCTCTGGACGCCGCACTGTGGACAAAGAACATGCTAGGGAGTCCCCACTCGTCGTTCACTGTCTGCCCTCTCAGAGGATGGCTGCGGGGCCGCACAATCCAAAACAACATCGTATCCGTCCCCTAGGGCTGCCTAGCAAAGTACGACAAATGGGGTGGCTTAAACAACAAAAATTTATTCTCTCATAGTTCTGGAGGCTAGAAGTCTAAAATCAAGGGGCGGCAGGGCCACACCCCCTCTGAAATCCGTAGGGACTCCTACCTGGCCTCCTCCTAGCCTCTGGTGCTTTGCTGCAGTCCTTAGCGGTCCTTGGCTTGCAGCTGCGTCACTCCAGTCTCTGCCCTCATCGTCACATGGCGTCCTCCTGTGCGTTTCTGCCTTCATGTGACCATGAGGACACCAGTGCATGTTGGATTAGGGCCCAGCCTACTGCAGTCCGACCTCATCTCAACTAATTACATCTGCCATGACTATATCTCCATGTAAGGTCACACTACGTGGAGGTACTGGGGTTAGGACTTCCACATGTCTCCTTTGGTGGGGATACAATTCAACTTCTAATAACTATCTAACTCAGTAATCACCCCTGCTATGCTATGGCTCATATTAATATGGAGTTCAAGGGTGCAGTTTTTTGGGTTTTTTTGGGTTTTCTGGTAGAGACAGGGGTCTTACTATGTTGCTCAGTTCGGTCTCAAACTCCTGGCCTTAAGTGATCCTCCTGCCTCGGCCTCCGCAAGTGCTGGGATTACAGGCGTGAGCCACCGTGCCAGCCTGCAGGTTATTTAGTTTTCTAAATGTGTGTGATTTAGCCTAATATTAGAAGGAACTGAAAAAATCTGATTCTAAGCCCAGACAAATCTCCCATCATCCTCACACTCACATCCCAAAAAAGGCCCATGGCTGATGTCTCCACGTCATCAGTAGCGCAGCCTGCTGAGCATAATCTTGACTATCAAAAATTATAAAATGTGGAGTTTGGTAATTTTAGAATTTTTAAGAGGCTTTTCTAAATGCATGTGTGTGGTTTTGATCAGGAAGTTGTGGGTTTGTGCCTAACCAAGAAACTTTCAACATTAAAAATTCAGAATCGGTGAGCACTAAAAAATCTATAGCCTCAGGCTTGCAGGATCATCAGGCCATCCCCTCTCCCTTACCCCGGGCCACTCTGCCCCCTGCCATCCCCAGCGCCAGAAACATCCCCATCTCGAATCTCCTCCAGTGTTTCCAGAACCCAGACTGGAGTCCTGGGTCACCTTTTCCAGCCTGTCACCCTGGGCTGGGGCTGGAAGGAAAGGTTCATATCCACGGGGAGAGAAGACTTGATCAGAGGAACTTCTGTTTGGCTTTCTATTTATAAAGCTAATTATTCATCTGTGAAAGTCTTAAAGACCTGGGCTCTAATCCCAGCATTCTGATTTAAGAAGCTGTCTGACTCACTTAACCCGTGAGGAGGGAAAAGACGTCGAGCCTGGAGGTGGCAGGGTTGTCTGAGGAGCAGAGGAGGAGAACGTGCGCATGGGCTTCGATGGTCCCCTGCTAGCCTCGCCACGCCTGGTGTCCTTGGCCCCTCAGGGAAGGGCAAGTGCTTCCACGTCCTAGGCCCTGTGGCACGCCCTTCGGGGGGGGTTTCACGTGTCAGCAACCAAGCAGGTCTTTGGGCAAGACAACTTGGACTCTCAGTCTCTGTTCCCCCATCTATAAAACAGATAAACATCCACCAAGGCCCTGCAAGGGGAGAGGTGAGGACGGAGTGAGAGAACAGCTGTGAAAGCCGCCAGCACCGGGTGTGGCCCAGAGCGGGTGCCTGGCGAACGCTGGGCGCTTGGTGTTGAAGGAGAAGAGCCCCTCGGGGTGCTCCGCCCCGTCAAGCCGAGAAGTCTCCCGTTTCTCTTCAGGCAGGTGCTTGGCTAAGCAGGAGCTGCAAAGCCTTTGGGTCCCCAAAACTGGCAGATCCTCGTCCCGTTGATGGTGTTTCATTCCTCGGACTCCCGCTGGGAGTGGGAAGTGGACCCAAGGTAGGCAGACCAGCAGTCAAAGGATTTCAGTTGGGCCTGGGCCCCCCATCGGGTCTGCAGGATGCTCTGTGCAGGGGCTGGGAAGACGAGTCACCGCACATACAGCCCATACTCCAGGGCCTCCGTCTGTGTAGCCCTGAGAGGTAGAAATCACCACCTGACCTAGCAGATAAGGAAACTAGTGCTCGGACGAGTCCAAAAACCTGCCAGCCCGCAGCAGTGAAGGCTCTGACTCCAGTTTCCAGACACCGTGTTCTTTGCACCTCACCACACTGTCTCGGCCTGTCCTGGGATCTCTGCGAGACAGGGATGTGCCCAGGGCCTAGAACTGTGCCTGGAGGTTATAGACAGAATGAATGACTGTGGGAGACCAGTGCAAAAGCCACTGGGCTGACGTGGCCGCAACCTGCAGAGGACCAGACTTGGTCCACGAGCTCCCTTCTTCTAACAGGAGACAGGGCACCCACGGAACACCCAGGAGACCCTCAAGGGACCAGCACAGGGAGGTCCCTGGCAGGAACTCCGGCAGTCCATAAGCCCCGCCCACTGCCTTTGGGCCAAACACTGACATTACTGTCCCCCCTCCCTCCTCAGCCTGCCTTGGCGCAGGTGCCGGTTATGGCTCTCCCAGACCACTGCCCCACCCTCCTCACTGACCTCCAGCCTCCATCCCACCCTTCTGCGCCACCACCAGTCCAAGGACAAACCCCCTGTCTCAACCCCTCAGCAGCTCCTTCAGAAAAAAGTCCCAACTCCTTGGCAAGGCCCAGGTGTCCCTTCCCGGTCTGGGTCCTCCAGCCTCATCTTTCCTCACTTGCCCCATCCCACTACTCTGGTGTTCAGTTCCCCACAAGGGACAGGCTAGCTCCAGCCACCTGGCCTGAACACGTTGCTCCCTGGGCCTGATGCACCCTTCTGTCTCCACTCCACATTCCCTAAGAGGTCGCCTACTCCAGGAAGCCCACCTTTTCTGACACCCTCTCCCTAAAGATGGGTCATCCAGGCTCCGGGCTTCCCCAGTTAATGCTGTCCAGGTACTCTTTGGTCCCCGGACTCAGGGTGACAGGAGCAGCCTGAGAAGCAGCCACTCTCTTGCCAATTCCAGCGTCTCCCACACAGCACACCGCCAGCTGCAGCTAACAGGAGTTTCCTAAAAGAACTCATGAACTTGCAATGGACTTTCCGCTTTGGTTACTGTCCCCATGGCCAGCCAGGGGTCACTCCCGGAGCCAGTCTGACTGGAGGGGGTAGGTGGCCCCATGACCTTGCAAGGAAGAGGCCCTCAGGGACTCTCCACCCCTCCCCGCCAGGCCCTCCCCACACGGCCTCACACCACCAACAGCCACCCCCTGAGTGCCCCCAGCAGGGGCTGGCACTATCTCTGGGGTCTACAGCCTTTGTGATTTGCTCAGAGCATTTTCACGGCCACAGATTCAGGCCACTCTCTCAACGTGCCCCTCTCAACAGTTCCCGGCAGTAACTGACCCCTTCACGCTGGGGAAACTAAGGCTCGGAGTGTGAGGCTTGCTCCCAAGGTCAAAGAGCCAGCTGGCAGCAGAGGTAGGGTCAAGGTCGTGAGTAGAGGGGGTCCCTGTTGCCTCCCCCAGCACCACGAAATGTATCTGACTGCCCCAAGATGAGCAAATGCTCCGGGTCGCAGCCTGCGCTCCTCCCTCCTCCGGGAGAGCCGCCAAGGTGACTCCGACCGCACCGGTCCCGCCCCGTGACGGGCTGGGCAGGGGTCCCGGGCCAGGGGAGGTGGCCGCTCCGCGCTTACCCTCCAAGGCCGCCTTCCAGCTGGTGCTGCCCTCGTAGCCCGACCCGGATCGCCGCAGCA